GCGGTTTACCAGTCTCACCTGGCCAAATCCAGCGTTGTGTTTATACCGCGACGGGGCGCGGGAAATACGGGATCTGCGTTGCATGTACTGTACATGTATAGTCAATCAGATTAGAAATACAGCGACTATCAGAATTTCGGGCCGTAAAAAAGATCTGATTTTGATTAGATTTCAGGTGTAGGCGAATGTGTGTGTACTGAGGGGTTAGTTAATTCATTCAAGATTTATGATATTGTTCGTTTGGACGAAGGCTTCATAAAAATATACACACTGCTTGTACAGGTACACATCAATGAATGTTCAGATTAATTCAAAAATCGGCGGACATTAATTTATTTTAGTTATCTAAAGGCAATGTTATTTCCAGAGACATTTATATTTTCTGTTTTTTGTCTCGGATTTTTCTTTTATGTGATTTACCGGTTTACAAAGGCCTGTGATTTAACAGCTGTTCATAAACGCTGTCAATTAATATATGATCAGAGAAAACGAGACATCTCCCGGTAATTCATTTCTTATGGAACATCTTAGTATTTACCTGTGTAATTACGATGTTACAAACCGTGACGATGACTGGCCAGAAGGACTACCCGTTATGAAAACAACTCATGATCAACTCAGCGGACCTATAATTGACTTTAATATATGCTGTAAATCAATAAAATCATTTCAGTTTAACTGATATTTTATTGCAAAGATAATGGGAAAAAAAGACTTGGGATTTAGAATTTTTCTGAATTTCAAACGCTCGATATGCATATATTTGGGGCGCTCTTGCATATGCACTTATAAAACGTGCATGTTCTGTACTTGCATGCGTGTAGATTGTATGTATCCTTAAAACCTTAAGAGAGCTGATAAATGTGTTCTGATTTTCAGCAAAAATAATGGGAACCTATAAATAATTACATGTTTATCATTTTGTTCGCATACAATAACAAGTTAAGTAGAAAAAAATAATTTGTTCAAGGTTAGGTGTCTAATAAATTTGTAATATTCAAATACAGTTACACATGTATGTCTCATTCTACATATTTTGGAGGCGCGTGTGAATGTGGGATTTTGTTTTTCCATACGCTCGATATGCATATATTTGGGGCGCTTTGTATATATACAGTTGTACATTTTAAGGGCGTCGACAAAAGAACGTATATTAGATTACATACATGTACATTTAAGTTTCAAAAGTTCCATTACTAGTAGGAATTAATTATGGTTACATATTTTGAATTTTATTATGAATAAAACAGACAATTAACTCGATATCGAGAAATAAATTGTTTATAAAAATAACTATGCAACTTTCCTGTAATTCAGCGAATAAAATATTAAATAAAATACATTAGCGATTTTATCAAAGATATTATGAAATAATCTGAAAAATTCAACATATTTATCCACTCATGACTTAGTTTACAAAATGAATTTGGAATGGCCATTCTATGATTTGTTTTTTGTATGACTAGGTCGCTGGATCACACACGCCGATCGATCCCCGGTGACCTCCTTTGCTACGCGCTATCGAGGGAGGTGTTACATAATTGCAAACACACAAGGTGAATGTAAAAGGCGCACACTTAATGGCTGTAAATAGTCTATGCTTCAAAGTTATGTTTTATTTTCTCAGTATATTGTTTGTTTTTATATGATAAGAAGAAAAGGTTATCTTTTTTCCCCTTTTTTTAGTAGACTGGTTTATTCGACTTTGAAAAAAATGAAATAAAACGAAAAGTTGTCAAAAAATAACTTGGAAATAAAGCACAAAACACTTCAAAAACCTTATTCTAAAGAATATTAGCATCTAATGTAGCCAGATTTATTATTTATAGTAAGTTTATTTTAGTTACACGCATGAAGAGCTCTCGTTTACTTGCTGAATGAAAACAGTTACCTGTAAATGGGTCAAGCTTCTGGCGCATTTAAAACACAAGACTCGAACAAAATAACATTTTCTAGAAATCAATAAGATGTTAAAGAACAACTTTTTTAACGACAGCCATTTCGAAATATTTACCGTTTTTGAGTTATAAAGCAAAAACTTTAAAGGGCTCCAGATCCCTAATTTGAGGGGCCAGCCCCATTTTAGTGGTGTCAAATGAAAGGCCTTGAAATTGTGCACAACTTTTATTCTACATGTCTTATCAAAATATTTTTAGTTTTAAAGATACAAAGGAAAATATGTCTAAATTTTCGCTCTTTTAGGCGTTCTAAATTTTGACCCCTAATTAGCGCCATTTTGAATACAGAAATCAAAAAACAAAAATAGATGTGCACAACTTCAATCCTTCTATTATCTAAATTCGGTAGAATTTCTGCTCCAGCTTTTGTAGTCTCGGAGCCTTTGTCTGGAAATGAAGCCTAATAAATTTTCATTTAAAGGGCAATAACTCAAAAGCGGAAGTGACTTTTTGAACTGTTTGACAGCATTCTGATAGAGTTTTGTAACGTCTATAAACTCTGCAAATTTGAGCAAAATCCGTTGAGAAATGAGCGAGATATGAGGTCTCAAAGTTGGCGTCTAGGAAAAAGAAGAAAAAAAAAAAGAATAATAATCTTAACCATCAGAATCAGTAGAAGGTCTTCCGCCTGGAGCGGAAGACCTTAAAAAAAGGTCATCAGACTTTTTATTGCGGGGGCACAAGCATATAGTATCTATGTTTACTATAGTAATCTATATATCGGCAAAATTATTGGGGAGAGGGGCACGCCCCCCCCCCCCCCGGTTCCTAAGGCCATGTTTACTGAGCAGACTTCTACATTTATCTGTAGATGGCCGTGATTATACTCGGACAAGATAATACAAAGATACATATTCATATTATTTGTTATAAATTCAATTTTCAGAACTTGATATTCAAGTAATATGCTGTTTTAGTTTTTATTAAACAGACAAATGAGAGAGAGAGAGATTCCGTTTTAGCCCCCCCCCCCTATTTCAGGCTTCACTACATGTTTGTACCTATATCAAACAAAAACTCTGAAATTTTTTTCTAAGTATATCAGACAGTGAAAGTAACTTTTTTTCAAATCAACAAATCAAATCCATTTGTTTGACAGTCGTTTTTTATTTTCCTGCTTCAAGTTCACACGAAGTCCACGTGCTTGTCCTGTCAATCAAAATCATTCGACACTGTGCAGGTGTGAAAGTTTCGTCACATCGAAGACGAAGTGCAAGTACTTCCAACAAGTTTAACATTTATTTTTATCATTTCTAGGTTTGATTCCAACATTTGAATAATAATTGAATTAAATACATAGGGCATTAACACTTGAATTTTAAACATACTCTCTGCCAATTCCAAATACCACCGCCGACACGTGTACATTTTGAACTACTATTGTTTTGTGACTTTTTTAGATGCCTGTTTGTTTTGAGACTGAAATTTTTGATCTAAAAAAGACCTTAACTTTTTTTTTAAAATGTTAATTAAAATGTTCTGGAAATACAATACTGACTAAGTAACCGATTTAGGGGGAAAAGGGGGGGGTATTAATCATATCGAATGGCAAACATATAAAGTTACGGTGAAGAAAGATTTTTTTTCTCTATAACTATAGACTTTACATATTATAGTAGAGAAAATTCTGTAGTGCATTACATTTTAAATAAATATTTCCTTTAACCACGCCATCAATTTAATTCGCTCCAAAGATAAAAAATTAATACGATATCCGCAGTACTACGTATAACTCTCAGAACTAGTTCTATCATATTTTCTGTAGTAATTGAAAAAAAAACGTGTTATAAATAAATATTTTCGTAATTTTGCTGCGTAATTATTTGACTTGGATAATTATATCTCCATTAACGATTTGTCGTCTTTAACAAAACAACAAAATGTTGCAGTGCTTGAAGTATTTGCACATTGCCCTTAGTTAAATTTAATATTTCAGCATCGTTCTACATAGGTACAGAATGTGCTTATAACAACATTCATTTTCCAGAGTAATTTAATAAATAACCTAACAGCTAAGTTAGAATAATAAAAATATATATCGTAGATATTCCCCCCCCCCCCCCCTGAAATAATTATTCTTCAGACACGATATGTAAGTTATTAAATTAAAAAAACCTGTAACTCCTAACCTACAAAAAGATAAGTCCTTTCACTTCGGAGTTCCGAATGACAATGAAAACTGAACGATAGGTGAACGCTGAACGCAAGGTGAACGCAAAGTGAACGGAACGAAGAGCGAACGCTGAACGCTTTGTGAACGGTGAACGCGAGCGCACGGTGAACGCTGAACGCAAAACTGTGAACGGAGAGCGGACGGTGAACGCACGCTGAACGAACGGTGAGCGAACGGAAAAATGGGAAAGTAGAACGTTTCAGGGACTGTATAAGCAGATGAAATTTAAACCATTATAGGAATTTGAGAATCTCACAATTATGTTTGTAATTTTTTGTACAAATCCTTTGTATCTGTCATATTTTGTAGTACTCCGTAAAAACAGGAAAATTTCATTAATTTTGACATTTTGAGATACCCCCTCTGGAAACCAGACAGTGGAATTTTGTGTTTCTTTCACATAATGTACAATATAGTATAACTCATCACATATTATAATTTGAGCAAAGAGTCTTTAGTCTTATTTAAATAATTTGCTTTGAAGTGCTAAAAATTGGCACTTTCCCATTTTACATATAATCCTATAGTACATGTACCTGTATTTTGAGATGGTCCCTAAAAACTACCTAGACGGTAGATTTTCCCTGAATTTGGCATGTACACTGAAGTCAATGTAAGTTATATATGGTATAAAAATAAAGTTTCTCTATAAACTGTAGTTTGTCTCTGGCCTCTGAATGGTAATGATAACAGTTAAGTTTTCATTCAAGGTTTTTGGTAATGCAGCCAAATCAGTTCTGGCTCAGGTTCACTTACAAACAAAGAAGAAAAATTTTGTAATTTAATATCTAGGTGTTAAATGATTCATGTATCTGTGGTATTAAAAAAAATAGATACATTAATCTAAATTACCTTAAGAGTTGACATACCTGTTTAGGCCAATCAATCCAGCAATACTTTGTTTCCCAAAACCAGGATTTCTAGAGAAAATATTCATTTGTACATGTAAATATATACTCACAAATACTGACAGAGCTACATGTACCACATAAAATACATGAATATTAAATCCTTTACTTACATCCCATAGTATGTAGAGTCCATACACAAACATGGTACAGTAGAACATAAAATGGTAGCTAAAAAATAAAATGAATCTAAAATATTCACAAAATTTAATTTCTTTAAACATTTTTTTTTTATTTTTTTATTTTTTGGGGGTTGGGGGGGGGGGGGGTTGGGGGGGGGGTTAACGGGGAGATACATGTAACAGTTGGGATATTGCAGAAAAAATATATAACCTGCATACATGTACGCATGTTTTGTAATTTTTTTCTGCAATGATTGCACATAATCTTCAAAATAACAAATAAAAGAAATTAATTAAGACATTTAATTGTTTACATTTACCTGTTGGAATTTTTAATATATGGTGTGTGAAATATATGTAATATTAGTGATCTGTAATTACATTGATAAAAGAGTTCACCTCTGAAGAAATCTTTCAGTTAATAAATGGCTTTTAATAAAATGGTTCTAACTATAGTCAAACTTCTTAATCTCAAACTCAGTGGGACTGAGAGAAAAAACTTTGAATGAGATACCCAATATAAGAGATATCCAAAAATTACAGATATCCACAAATTAGAGATATTGAGATTAAAAAGGCATAAAGAATAAGATCGAGGTAAGGACTTACAACTCACTTCAACATGTCCCGGTAGCTCAGTCGGTAGAGTGCTCGCTCTGTGATCGGGAGGTCGTGAGTTCGAATCTTCGCCGCGACAGACCTAAGTCAATAAAAAATGGGTAGCAACGGTTCCTTTGCCATGCGCTCGGCACTTTGAAGTAAAAGTTTGAATGAGACCTTAAAAACTGAGGCCCCATGTCACGGCAGGTGTTGGCATGATAAAGATCCCTCACTGCTCAATGGCCCTGAGTGCCGAGTAAAGGTCAAAATTTGAAGCCCTTCACCTGTATATGGTGACGTCTCTATGTGTCATTGAGTGAAAAATTCTCAAATGGGACGTAAAACAACATACAATCAATCAATCAACGTCCCTGGTTTTCAAGACACTGTACAATTTTTCATGACACCTTATTTTCACGGAAAATTTTAATGGAAAATCCCCCCCCCCCTCATTCATGTTAATACAGACATCTTCCTAAATTTTGTCTTATGCACTGAAACTTATCTAATTGGGATGTTGTGTAATATGAAAACTTAAGTCTCTTTCTGAATCAGTAAAAATGTTTTCAAATCCAGAATGTTTTTTAGTCTGGCCAATCTAAATAGATTCGGATCAGACAAGTTTACTGTATATTATCCTCACCTGCACTCAGTGAACTTCTGCATGGTACTCGGGCTGTCTTTCTTAGCCCGTTTCCGCAGCCAGTGATGAACCTGCCTTTCTGATAAATCAGTCTTTTTTGCAACTTCCTATCAAGAAAATTTAATGACTATGACATAGGATAAACATATCACTGCTCTGCATCATTCTTCTCTTTTTTCCATTTAAGATTTTCACAATTGCAGAAGAGTGAGGAAGGAGAAATGGTATGTGGATTTGCTGACCAAAGAATTCTGACAAACATTTGAATCCTAAAGATAGAAATGTATTCCTTTTACTATCCCCATACTAAATTTGAAGTCATTGTGTAACACAGCTGAGTAATTGAGTAACATAGCTGAGTTGTTGTGTAACATAGCTGACTAATTATGTAACACAGCTGAGTTTTTGAGTAACACAGCTGAGTAATTGTGTAACATAGCTGAGTTGTTGTACAACATAGTTGACTAATTGTGGAACATTGCTGACTAATTGTGTAACATAGTTGAATTATTGTGTGACATACTGAGTTGTTGTGTAACAAAGCTGAGTTGTTGTGTAACATAGTTGAGTAATTTTGTAACATAGCTGAGTAATTGTGTAATACAACTGTGTTATTGTGTAACATATCTTAAAACATTGCTGTGACGTCATGCCTTTGTTCTTGCAGTCTAAAAATTTACCTGTAGCCGTCCGATAATAATAATTAGCAGTCCAATAACATATTATCGGACGGCAGTGATAACAAAATCGGACAGTAGTTAAAAAACAACAACCAGAGTGAAATCAAGGTTTAGTTTAAATGAATTTAGAACCCAAGATCCAATTAAAACTTTAGATAAAAATCCGCATTTTTACTTTAAATGCATTTTGAAGACATAATCCAACACTGTATCTGTATCAATGTCAAATGCACTGAATAAAAAAAATATTCCGAATCATAAAAAAAATCCTTCATCACCTGACCACTGTCCATAGTTCCTGCTAAGCCAAACGACTGCCATTGAATGAATGAAACAAAAGAGTTCACTCACTGATTTTACTGTCTAAAGAAAAAAACTTTCTCTTTTCTTTTGTCTACTTATTAGGTGGTTTCAGGTAGAAAACTATTGATGCCTGAACTCCTGTTGTGTAATTATCGGACTCCTCCATGTAACTTTTGGACATTTAAATAGCAATGTTTTAAGTAAGATATATGTCTCATACAATTCTATATGTAAAATTATCAGACTGTTTTCGGCCCTAATGGGCCTCAAACAGTCTGATAATTTTACATATAGAACAGTATTCGGCATATATCCATTACTGAGTAATTGTGTAACATAGCTGAGTTTTAATATTTTTAAAAAAAGAATTTAGAAAGATATTTTAATGCTTATAATTTTTAACAGAATCATTAATTTTGCAATATTTTTCAAACAACTAAGGTTTCTTGTCTTTTTTTTTTGTAAAACGGGCCCAATAACTTCCTCTGAGATATTTCCTTTACAGGACTTAACATTTAATATAGATATCATTTACCTTTATATATATATCTGGTATTTATCATTATATATCTGAAATGTACCTTTACATTCCAGAAATTTATCTTAGTTTAAAGATATGATATTTACTTTTACAGATCTGATATTTACCATTATAGATCTGATATTTACCTTTATAGATCTGATGTTACCTTTATAGATCTGATATTCATCTTTATAGATCTGATATTTACCATTATAGATCTGATATTTACCTTTATAGATCTGATGTTACCTTTATAGATCTGATGTTTACCTTTATAGATCCGATATTTACCTTTTTGGATCTGGTATTTACCTTTATAGATCTGATGTTACCTTTATAGATCTGAGATTTACCTTTATAGATCTGATGTTACCTTTATAGATCTGGTATTTACCTTTATAGATCTGATGTTACCTTTATAGATCTGATATTAAGCTTTATAGATCTGATATTTACCTTTATAGATCTGATATTTACCTTTATAGATCTGGTATTTACCTTTATAGATCTGATGTTACCTTTATAGATCTGATATTTACCTTTATAGATCTGATGTTTACCTTTATAGATCTGGCATCATTTTTCTTTCTTTTGTATAGCTGTTCTAACTCTGGAATATTTGTCAGTTGGACGTTCTTTCTGACTTTTACTCCCAGACATTTTGCCAGAGGAATCACTATTAACCTGCAATAGACACAAAGTAGCATGTACTGTGTATATAGTGTACTGTGTATATAGTGTACTATGTATATAGTGTACTGTGTATATAGTGTACTATGTATATAGTGTACTGTGTATATAGTGTACTATGTATATAGTGTACTGTGTATATAGTGTACTATGTATATAGTGTACTATGTATATAGTGTACTGTGTATATAGTGTACTGTGTATTTAGCGTACAATGTATATAGTGTACTATGTATATAGTGTACTATGTATATAGTGTACTATGTATATAGTGTACTCTGTATATAGTGTACAATGTATATAGTGTACTATGTATATAGTAGCCTGTACTGTGTATATAGTGTACTATGTATATAGTGTACTATGTATATAGTAGCCTGTACTATGTATATAGTGTACTATGTATATAGTGTACTATGTATATAGTGTACTATGTATATAGTGTACTATGTATATAGTAGCCTGTACTATGTATAAAGTGTACGATGTATATAGTGTACTATGTATATAGTAGCCTGTACTCTGTATATAGTGTATTATGTATATAGTGTACTATGTATATAGTGTACTATGTATAAAGTAGCCTGTACTATGTATATAGTGTACTATGTATATAGTGTACTATGTATATAGTGTACTGTGTATATAGTGCTCTATGTATATACTAGCCTGTACTGTGTATATAGTGTACTATGTATATAGTGTACTATGTATATAGTGTACTGTGTATATAGTGCTCTATGTATATAGTAGCCTGTACTATGTATATAGTAGCCTGTACTGTGTATATAGTGTACTATGTATATAGTGTACTATGTATATAGTGTACTGTGTATATAGTGCTCTATGTATATAGTAGCCTGTACTATGTATATAGTAGCCTGTACTGTGTATATAGTGTACTATGTATATAGTGTACTATGTATATAGTGTACTATGTATATAGTGTACTATGTATATAGTAGCCTGTACTATGTATATAGTAGCCTGTACTATGTATATAGTGTACTATGTATATAGTGTACTATGTATATAGTAGCCTGTACTATGTATATAGTGTACTATGTATATAGTGTACTATGTATATAGCAGCCTGTACTGTGTATATAGTGTACTATGTATATAGTGTACTATGTATATAGTGTACTATGTATATAGTGTACTATGTAGTGTACTGTGTATATAGTAGCCTGTACTATGTATATAGTAGCCTGTACTGTGTATATAGTGTACTATGTATATAGTGTACTATGTATATAGTAGCCTGTACTGTGTATATAGTGTACTATGTATATAGTGTACTATGTATATAGTGTACTATGTATAAAGTAGCATGTACTATGTATATAGTAGCCTGTACTGTGTATATAGTGTACTATGTATATAGTGTACTATGTATATAGTGTACTATGTATATAGTGTACTATGTATAAAGTGTACTATGTATATAGTGTACTGTGTATATAGTAGCCTGTACTATGTATATAGTAGCCTGTACTGTGTATATAGTGTACTATGTATATAGTGTAATATGTATTTAGTGTACTATGTATATAGTGTACTATGTATATAGTGTACTATGTATATAGTGTACTGTGTATATAGTACCCTGTACTGTGTATATAGTGCTCTATGTATATAGTAGCCTGTACTGTGTATATAGTGCTCTATGTATATAGCAGCCTGTACTCTGTATATAGTAGCATGTACTATGTATATAGTGTACTATGTATATAGTGTCCTATGTATATAGTAGCCTGTACTATGTATATAGTAGCCTGTACTGTGTATATAGTGTACTATGTATATAGTGTACTATGTATATAGTGTACTATGTATAAAGTAGCATGTACTATGTATATAGTAGCCTGTACTATGTATATAGTAGCATGTACTATGTATATAGTGTACTATGTATATAGTAGCCTGTACTGTGTATATAGTAGCCTGTACTGTGTATATAGTAGCATGTACTATGTATATAGTGTACTATGTATATAGTAGCCTGTACTGTGTATATAGTAGCATGTACTGTGTATATAGTAGCCTGTACTGTGTATATAGTAGCCTGTACTGTGTATATAGTAGCCTGTACTGTGTATATAGTGTACTGTGTATATAGTAGCCTGTACTATGTATATAGTGTACTGTGTATATAGTGTACTATGTATATAGTGTACTATGTATATAGTGTACTATGTATATAGTAGCCTGTATTATGTATATAGTAGCATGTACTATGTATATAGTAGCCTGTACTATGTATATAGTAGCATGTACTATGTATATAGTAGCCTGTACTATGTATATAGTAGCCTGTACTGTGTATATAGTAGCCTGTACTGTGTATATAGTAGCATGTACTGTGTATATAGTAGCATGTACTGTGTATATAGTAGCATGTACTGTGTATATAATAGCCTGTACTGTGTATATAGTAGCCTGTACTGTGTATATAGTAGCCTGTACTGTGTATATAGTAGCCTGTACTATGTATATAGTAGCCTGTACTATGTATATAGTAGCCTGTACTGTGTATATAGTAGCCTGTACTGTGTATATAGTAGCCTGTACTGTGTATATAGTGTACTATGTATATAGTGTACTATGTATATAGTAGCCTGTACTATGTTTATAGTGTACTATGTATATAGTGTACTATGTATATAGTGTACTATGTATAAAGTAGCATGTACTATGTATATAGTAGCCTGTACTATGTATATAGTAGCATGTACTGTGTATATAGTAGCCTGTACTATGTATATAGTAGCCTGTACTGTGTATATAGTAGCCTGTACTGTGTATATAGTAGCCTGTACTGTGTATATAGTAGCCTGTACTGTGTATATAGTAGCATGTACTGTGTATATAGTAGCATGTACTATGTATATAGTAGCCTGTACTATGTATATAGTAGCCTGTACTGTGTATATAGTAGCCTGTACTATGTATATAGTAGCCTGTACTATGTATATAGTAGCCTGTACTGTGTATATAGTAGCCTGTACTGTGTATATAGTAGCCTGTACTATGTATATAGTGTACTGTGTATATAGTAGCCTGTACTGTGTATATAGTGTACTATGTATATAGTGTACTATGTATATAGTAGCCTGTACTGTGTATATAGTGTACTATGTATATAGTGTACTGTGTATATAGTAGCCTGTACTATGTATATAGTAGCCTGTACTATGTATATAGTAGCCTGTACTGTGTATATAGTAGCCTGTACTGTGTATATAGTAGCTTGTACTGTGTATATAGTAGCCTGTACTGTGTATATAGTGTACTATGTATATAGTGTACTATGTATATAGTAGCCTGTACTATGTATAAAGTAGCCTGTACTATGTATATAGTAGCCTGTACTATGTATATAGTGTACTATGTATATAGTGTACTATGTATATAGTGTACTATGTATAAAGTAGCATGTACTATGTATATAGTAGCCTGTACTATGTATATAATAGCATGTACTGTGTATATAGTAGCATGTACTATGTATATAGTAGCCTGTACTGTGTATATAGTAGCCTGTACTGTGTATATAGTAGCATGTACTATGTATATAGTGAACTATGTATATAGTAGCCTGTACTGTGTATATAGTAGCATGTACTGTGTATATAGTAGCCTGTACTGTGTATATAGTAGCCTGTACTGTGTATATAGTAGCCTGTACTGTGTATATAGTAGCCTGTACTGTGTATATAGTGTACTGTGTATATAGTAGCCTGTACTATGTATATAGTAGCCTGTACTGTGTATATAGTAGCCTGTACTGTGTATATAGTAGCATGTACTATGTATATAGTAGCCTGTACTATGTATATAGTAGCCTGTACTGTGTATATAGTAGCCTGTACTATGTATATAGTAGCCTGTACTGTGTATATAGTAGCATGTACTGTGTATATAGTAGCCTGTACTGTGTATATAGTAGCCTGTACTGTGTATATAGTAGCCTGTACTATGTATATAGTAGCCTGTACTATGTATATAGTAGCCTGTACTGTGTATATAGTAGCCTGTACTGTGTATATAGTAGCCTGTACTATGTATATAGTAGCCTGTACTGTGTATATAGTAGCATGTACTGTGTATATAGTAGCATGTACTATGTATATAGTGTACTATGTATATAGTAGCCTGTACTGTGTATATAGTAGCCTGTACTGTGTATATAGTAGCCTGTACTGTGTATATAGTGTACTATGTATATAGTGTACTATGTATATAGTGTACTATGTATATAGTGTACTATGTATATAGTGTACTATGTATATAGTAGCCTGTACTGTGTATATAGTAGCATGTACTGTGTATATAGTAGCATGTACTATGTATATAGTGTACTGTGTATATAGTAGCCTGTACTGTGTATATAGTAGCCTGTACTGTGTATATAGTAGCCTGTACTGTGTATATAGTAGCATGTACTGTGTATATAGTAGCATGTACTATGTATATAGTGTACTATGTATATAGTAGCCTGTACTGTGTATATAGTGTACTATGTATATAGTAGCCTGTACTATGTATAAACATGTAGTAGCATGTACTATGTATATAGTACTTATTAAAATAGCTACATGAATCATGTAAATTAAGTGCAAAACAAAAGGTCTGTGAGCCAATGCTCACTAATAATACCGCCGCTCTGATGTGAATACACAAGTTCAGTTATGGACAGACACAGTGGTAATCAGGAAGTTGACATTGGATTTGTCCAAAAATGAATGGCATGCCTAAACAATGAGTGTGCTAAAATTTCAAGCATCTGCGATGAGTAGTTGCTGAGAAAACTGCCACCAACATTTTTTATGTATGGTATGGACAGACGCACGGAGGAACAGGAAGTTGACATCGGATTCGTACAAAAAATTTGCTGAAAAAACTGCGACCAAAATTGTTACAGACAGACACACAGCTAGACAGACAGACACACAAGGGTAAAACAGTATACCCCCTCTCCTTCGGAGCGGGGGTATAATTACTTGGTACAATGACATTCACAGAACTATAATTTCATAGGTAGTCAAACATCTACTTTATATATTTGCATATAAGTCAGATTTTTGGGGAGTTTGGTCCAAAACTCTAAGTCTGACTTAGGTTATTATTCCTAACAGAAACATATCACGTATGCTCTAAATTTCAGTAATTTACCTACCTGAGTATACATGTACCTCACAGTTGCATGCAATATGCATCAAATCTGAGAATTCCCACAGAAGCAATATTTTTTCATAATGAAAAATGACAATATATCGGCAATGAGAGGTCGATGAAACTTGTGAAATGTCTTAATAGCTTTTAAGAATTACGTGCGCCTCAAGAATAAATTCCATATTGTAAACAAACGTGTGGTAATTTGGTAAAGAAACCACGACGTTCATCAAATTATTTCAATTCTGTGTCAGAGATGACTCATACAGACTGTCTCAAGATATGCACAATGATATGAGTATACACAAATACAAAACACACCTACTGCAGACAGTAGCTTGTCTTTTTAAACTGGTTCCCCATGGATTGGTGCCATCGAAGCGACCCAAATTTACCCGGTCAACAGGGTACCAGTTTAATTAACCGTAAGTGAGTATTGTCAACTCGTACATAAAATTTCAGGGTTTCAAGGTAGGAAAAAATTCGATATTTTAAGAAATACTTCACCGATTAACTTGAAAATAAATAGGGTTCATTCTTTTACAATGCAACATGAGTATGACTATGTGGAGGCTGAAAATTGATAGTGCAAACTTTAAGGTTCTCTTTATATCTTGCCCACAAGCTACTAGTTGCACGAGGGGATAATAAAAGATAAAATTTTGGTGTCATTCCCAAAGTATTATTTGACACATGGGTAAAAACATTAGAGAAAATGAAATTGTCAACTGATTCTGACAAAAAGTTGTACTTATAAGGGGATCAATGGAAAATCCTTCAATCTTAACCTAAAAAAAAAAAATTCAAACGTCTTATAAGTAGACCGACTTATAGGGGAATATATAGAGTTCCTGAAATGATGCATCCTTAGGCTAGTTAGTGCATTTTTTATACATAGTTTATATCAATTTCTGTAAATCAATGGAAGTCTCCAAACACAGAACACTTTATATTTTTTAATTTTAATTTTTTTTTCACTAATTTAAGGCATGGATTGTAGTATGTGCAGTAAATTTGGAGAATAAAATATTCGTATACATGTAAAAGTAGAAGCTTTTATACAGCAATCTTGATTCAAAGCTTTGTCAATGCTGTTATTCACAGAAATAACGCTGTACAGATTTACAGTTTTCTTTATTATTGCTAGTTTTGTGCTTATATTTCTGAACACTGTTCATGCTGTTGATGGGTAAACTTTTATAATTTGGGGGTTAGGCCACACCAATTTAATTTCTTGATCATCGGACATTTGATGAAAAAAAGTACGAGCGGGTGAGCGGTTAAATAATAATATTACTTTTTTGTAGGCAAAATTTTTAGGTGGAGTGTGCAAAAATTTGCGTGGACAATTATATTTTTTTCTGATTTGCAGAGTAAGCAGATTTAAAATACGAAAAATAGAGCGGAAATGGAATAGAAAATAGCACATAATTTCCATGGTGCGGGAAATCGAAATTAAAAATATTTTTATAGTTTTGTTTAAATATGAGCGCGCGGGTCAGACGAACAAAAAAATTTATTGGTGTGGCCTTAGGGATCAAAGAGGATCTGCAGGATTAACTTCACTACAAAATATAAATTTTACTTAGACCATTTTTACTTAGCCCTGGGTCAAAGCCTCTGCTGGTGGACTGTTGGTCCCCGACGGGACACAGTAGCTACAGCCCAGTAGCTAAGAACTTCGGTACTAGCTTGAAGATACGGATAAATATATATTTAATTGCTGTAGTAAAATTTAGAAATTTATTTCAAAATTAAGGACTATCTCCCTCATGCATAGCTCTGATCCTTCGACGTATTTGGCTCCAGTCCTTGGCACCCCTTTTCTCAGCTCTTCAAAGTTTTTTTTTTTTTAATTTATTAATAAATATTTCAGATTTCCAACGTTATGGCATAAGCATCACTGAAGAGACATAATTTGTCGAAATGCACATCTGGTGCATCAAAATTGGTACCGTATATTATTTACACCATAAATTTTGAACATGGCTTTTGCATACATTGTAAACTCCAGAACAGTTTGTTTAACCCTGAATTGCAGCTTGTGTCCAAAATATCAATATTTTAATGTGGAGTTATCTTTAAAAATTATCATTTCAAAACATTATACAAACCTTGGTCTGTTTGATAATACTAAGAACTTAATATTATCCTACTTTCGATGGAGAAATCACTCTAGAACAGTACTAATTCAGTGTGAGGAACAAAATTAATCCATAGCTCTTGTGGAAAACCATGTTATAAACCTCACATTGAGGGGAAAATGTAAACTTCCAATTTATCTCAAAAAGTATCTCATTATATGTAACCATTCTGTGCAACAGTATGTAGCATTTTTAACATCTATATATATATGATATAGTAATAAAGGTATAAAATCAGGTATCTAAACATGCTAAACAGAAATATGAGAAAGGAAAAGAAATTTAACCTTCACATGTCATAAAAAGAGGAAATTATTAATATTGCTTTTCATCTTGGCTTCATTTTTAGCAGAAATAGTGCATTCAATCTTTGTTCGATCTATAAAATGTGTTAAAAAGAAGCTCATGGCTAAAATTCCACCAGAGTAACAAACTAAGAAACCAAGACCTACCAAGATGTTAGAAAAAAAATTTGGAAACATGGAAAATATAAACACCTGTGCTTATATGTATCATACATTAATTTTGCTGTTTCTATCATTTTGAAATGTCTACTGGCACACATTATGTGAACAGTGATCTCACAAAATGAATTCCCCCCCCCCCCCCCCCCCATTCCATATGCATATATAATGGCAAAGTCAATGTTTTGCTAGGGACAAATTTGAAAATTTGTCTGTACAGCCCAAGCAGGCAATAGATAGTTTTCATATGATGTATTTTCCCTCCGAGATATTTCCCTTGACCTCTTGGAGGTCAAACTGGTGAATTTTCCTCTTTGAGCAACCAATTTTAAACATGCATAACAGAAATATAAAGGGAAAAATCATTCATCTAATAAAATTATGAATTGAAAGGGGATTAATCAAACGTATATTTGGTAGAAAGACAGTGTCATCTCTATCTCAATGTCCAGTATGCCAATTAAGCTTAAATTGGTTGAATTATGAAGGAATCTGGGGATGGCGACCAAACGGGAAATAACTCTTGATAAAATCACGTCTATCGAAAACTATCTGTTCTGTTCAACGTAAGTATGAATTTTGATTTTCAACCTCAAAATAAAAGTTACCCATAACTTAACCTTTTGACCTCCCTGTTAGGAGTGAAACGGTTCACCGCGGTATCGATGCACCGCGGTATTTTTTCTCGGTTTGATACACAGTGCAAAATCTCTAATTTTCGGTTCGGTTCATTTTTCGGTCGGGATCGTTATTCAGTCGGGTTTGGCATAAGGTATAACACGTTACTCAGAATAAATAAGTATAGAAAACGTAAATTTTTGATGACTGATTGCTTGTAAAATAATTTTTGACAGTCAAATAATTTTAATCAATTTCTTCTAGTCAATTTGCAAATAAAATTCGTAAAATATGTGACTAGATTTAGAAAAAGAAAGCATAAAACAACGTAGAATTTGTTTCCTTCTATCAAAATGTATCGTATCGAAAATAACCGAACCGAGACAAAATTATACAATACGTATCGAACCGTGAAGGAGGTGTATCGTTTCACCCCTACTCCCTGTCCATATTCTGGTGTTTTGAATGCCAAAGCTTTCCACACACTTTATAAGGCAAATGCAAGAGGAATGTAAATATTTGCCAATGGACTAGTGTTTAATGTTATAAAGGACTAGTTATAAAATTTAACAAGCTCACTAGTCCTGGGATCAGTGAATGTTTAGGGATAATTTGAACCCCTATCTTCAGTTTTGACTCCCATAATGTAAGAAAAATCAGGCTTATGATTTGGTGGAATGAGTACTGGTATTTTGCGTACCAAATTATCATGATTATGGGGTGTTCAATCTTGTTCCAGTTTCAATACATCTCATTTAAGGGGAAAAAACTTGCATGCTAGAATTTGTGGTCAGTACAAGAATTAAATAACAATGCATATCCAATGTATTTAAAATAATGATATGGAATAAGTTAACACGTTTATATTTTCCTTCCGATTATGCATTACGCTGCATCACAAGTGATAGAGGAAATTCGAGACAAGCCGCTTTCGCCTTACCTCTCCGTTAGGAATCTAGTGATCAGTAGCACGAGCCCGACAACAATGGAGAAGATTCCTATATCCTCAATCTGTGGAATATACACTTTGGGGTCCACATTCTGCATATCTTTCCATGTCACTCCCTTGGGAAACCAAAATTTCTCATTCCACAGTATCTCCATGTTCATGTTTGATATTATGCCGACATCCGTGTAAAAAGAAAATCCAAACCGGCGACGTTCCGGCACGTTTTAAGGAAGCTCTAAACACTAACATAAAATGTTTTTTTTGGACTTTGAGAAAATTTTTCATATAAAGGTGTACATAATTTATTGAATTTTTCTACTTCATTTTCAACATAGGGTACCTGCCATATTTCTCCAGAATGTTCAAGGACAATGAAGTATTATTGAACTGAAATCATCTCTGTTTACTAAAATTGGGAAAGTACTTGAAAATAATGTTTTCAGACAATTACTTTATCTTGGTCTAATGTAACATTAAGAATGCTTCAATCTATTTTAAATTGTGTCATTTAATGTAGAGTTCCATGTATTCCATTTTACATCAAAGAGCAGGTCACTCTAAGCGCATAAAACTACCATGGAATTTGAACTCTTTAGCATGTTTAGTGAGCAGTGTTTAGAGCTTCCTTAAGGTCCGGGAGGACCTTATACGATAACATATAAGGTCCGCCTGTTATATATGAAATGGTCCGCCTACGTTTAAAGGTCTGGGTGGTGCAAAATGTTTTAATCTTGACTTAAACACAAAAATTAAAGAGAGTTTGTTTATTTCATATGAAGAGAGAAGGTCACCTAATAATGATAAAAACACTGATTCATAATCACACATGTGAGTTAATTCTACATATAAATGAACATCAAATTTGTATAGTTGATAGTTGTATAGTTTTATTTGAATAGTTGTAGATCTGCTGATTTTAAATTTTTCCAAAGTTCACATCCGTATAGCAAAGATGGAATAACTACTTTTTTGTAAAGGCTGGCAAGAGTTAGTGGGTTTGAGTTGTTTGACAGATCATTTTGAATAGCAAAATATGATTTTCTACCCTTGTTACAGCTTGCATATGTCCTCTCTATAGATTTAAATCGAGTTTGTTGAATAATTCCTAAGTGCTTGTAATTGTCATCCAAGGGAAAAATTTCATTTCCTAATATCCAGGGTTGCTGTGTTGTAGAGATCTGTTTACCAGATTTGACGATATACTGGATTTTTGAGCATTAAAAGAAAAACGCCATAGATATGATTAGGTATAAGCACAATCTAACATTTTTTGTAAACCAGTAGCACTTGCACTCAAACATGCTATATTATCAGCTAGTGTTGGATTTGTTGATTTTACATTATAAACACCAAAATTTTGTTCTGTACATTCAAGCAAATTTTGTCACGACGTGGACGCTGTTTGCTAACAAGTTTCCAACAGAGGCGGATGTCGCATCCAGCGTCATGATATATATCTGATTTGGTGTCTTTGGCGTATTTTTCAAATGCGTCGATTTGGCATCTGCGAAATTCTCTTTTAGCCTGTTTGTAATTAATTAAAGTACGATTCATGCTGCATTCTGCCATCGGCTACCCAAATATTTCTCATTTTCCGTTCTCTGTTGTGAGATTCCTTCACTTCCTTTGTCCAGTAAGGTTTAGTGTGAGGGTTGAATCTCTTCACCGGTACAGTTTCAATAGCACATGCAATTAAACATTATTGAATTGATTAATTTCACTATGTGTTTGAGGAATAATGTTCCTAAATCTAGTCTCTAGTTGTTCTGCTAAATATAGTTCGTATGAACGTAATTCACTTTCTTTTATTTTATGCCACGCGGGGAAACTTTCATTCAAGTTTGCAAGTCTCTATGTTGTTTGCTATTTACATCAAACACTGCTATCACGGGTAAATGATCCAAAGTAATCGATATCGATCCTTCATCCAGAATTTCATAGGAACTTAGTAACATTCCCATGAATGTATCTGTAAAAATGTAATCTAGCGTAGTTTGGTTCGTAGTGAAGGTACATGTATATTTAGTGGTACAAAAATGGTCACTTGCATATGGACAATGAAGTTTATTTTTTTTCTACAAATTTTAGCAATTCTTTTGACTTATGAAAACTACAGCGACCCACGTCTCTTTCCAGACAACTAGCATTAAAATCACCTCCTATGATAACATGACCGTATCTGGGTGAATTTTAAAAAAAAATGACCACCAAACTGAATTTTTTTGGCAAATTAAAATTCAACTACTTAAAACATATTTTTCACTTATATCATCATATTGCAAATGCATTCTAGTTCAAAATCCTGAAGTGGCAATGGAATAGACAATTGGATTAAAAAGTTTCAGAATTTTTATTAGTAAAATTTCTTTTGAAAAAAGAAATTATCATTACACCTTGAAAGACTTTCTAAAATACACAATCACAAGAAATTATAGTTTTTTATGCTTCAAAATGGTAAAAGGGGTATAAATGATTAAATCTATACCTTCAATGAGTATCTTCTCTTGTACATGTGACAAAAAATTGTCTTTTTGATTGTTATTTTACATTATTTTTTCAATTCTGGTTTGAAAAGTTTTAATATGAAAAAAATATGAAGCAATAAAATTCCCCAAAGCTCACTTTTTTGTCCGTTCAAGTCAATTCTTTAAATCTAGGCCAAAAAAGAATTGTTATATACGAGTTCTCTTACAAAAAATACTAGATTTTGAAGTGACCCTATGTTACATTATTGTGTTGCACTCCTGACATCTGATATGTATTTTATTTAACATTGTTTTAAAAATTATAACACACAATAACCCATTCTTACTTTGTAAATCAATTTGTCGTGTTGATATTTTTCATCGTTTACAGCAGGTTTTTCATATTTTGAAGACCTTAAAACAAGATTATTTGCAAAGTGTAATATATATAAATTGTAATTAAAATATATGTGAAAGGATGAAAAACATTCCCTGAATTGACTGTAAATTTTCTGTAATTTGTTGATAGACATAGTGTTTTGAACATAAAATAGTATCAAGCATTTTTTTTTCAACTTATTTTTTAGTAAAGATAGTTAAAAAGCATCGGTAATTATGAACCAGTTTTGTTGCACTCCTGACTGCAGTAAAGTTTAAAATTAAAACCATAGAACACAAAAATTCATAAAGTGTTGGCAACATCAAGTGGTAATGAAATTGTGCAATACTTATAGTCCAATACTTCATAATTAAACAGATGAAAGTATTTAAAATTCACATTTTATCTGGAATTATACCCTATTTTATGCCAAAAAAACTAGCTTAAATGTATATTTAGAAGATAAAATATATTTTAAAGCATATTTTCCTTTAGAAGACAAACACAGTAACCCACCAGAAAAATTCTACTCATCATTTTTTCTTTATTTTTATTCTTATTGGATGATTTATAATTCTAACATATTTGTTGCACTCCTGACCAAAAGCATTGGTGCCTTTAAAGTAGAATTGTGAAGTGAAAATTACATAAGAACCTGTTCTGTTGTTTCAGTGAAGTTGAGGAGGAATTACTTGAATTTCATGACAATGTTTTAGTGTGTTTATTTTTAACGTTTATTAAAAAAATCGCAAAAAAAAAAAATAAAAACACATCTGAATTGATAAAATTGAAAGAGGAAGAAAGAGGAAGGATTTTAATAATAAAACTGTCAATAATTTAGCATTAAATTATACAAAAAGATCATTATTAATTAATGAATACTTCTAAGCATGAATAGAAGTCTTTTCTTCACACAACTTGAATCTTTAAAAAAATGTGTTGCACCCCTGACCATAGAAATATGGATCTGAAGCACAGACAGAACCTGTAATTGATAAATCTATTTGGTAAAAATGTTCTTAGTGTCTTTATTTTCCAAAATAAAAATCAGAAAATCATATAATGATAATAGTTTTTTCATGCTTGGGAGCAAAACATCAAATGTTGCACTCCTGACATTTTTGGGTATGCACATATACTTGACTCTCATTAATGCTGCTTGTGATTTATATAACATTTTTAAGTTTTAAAATGTATATCAGTTATTATTTTACACTTCCAAAATTCTTTTTTGTCTTAATTTTCTATGAGAATTTTACAATTGATGTTTTTTTGGCAACACTACATTTTTTCTGTTGCACTCCTGACATGGTATAACATTTTTTTAAACATCAGCCACGACCACAACTTGAGTAAACAAAAGTTATGACAGTCCACATTTAAAGCTCAATACTTTGAATATTATCAGGAAAGTCTTTATTTTCAACATGAAGCATTATTTTTTATTTCACAGATCTCCAAAAAATATTGAAATTTCAAAATGTCACAAAAAGGTGTTGCACTCCTGACAATTTTAGCATCATTTTTGGGCATAACTTTTTTGTTAATTGAGATATCAACGAGATATTTGGCAGGTATTTAGACACTATCTAAAGACATATGCTGAGACATAGAAATCTATTTTCATTGCATGTATTTTTAGTGTGGGTTGATAAAGATGCATTTGGTCATTTTTTTTTTAATTCACCCATCTACAACAATAGTCATATAATTCTTGTAGTTTTGATATTTCATCTTTGTAAAAGTCGATTGCATTTTCAGCTGGAAGGTACACACCAATATATATTTTACCTATATTGGTATTTTTACATTCAATACATATTATTCTAGAAGAATCAATCTCTATTTCTCTCACGTTAAAGGAGTAGGATTTTCTAATAAGTTAAGCAACACCAGAATTTCCATGAAACTTGTTTCTGATGTTTATGATATATAATTATGTTACTTTAATAAAAAAAAATGAGGCATTTAAATTCTTAACTGATAAATAACAGCAATGTTTACTGAAGCGTAACCATTTCGTTGAAGAAAAAAAAATTAAAAAATCGTGTCCATATTTTTTCGGTGGAATAAATTTCTATTTTTTCTTAGTGGTTGTGTTCTTATGTTTGTACTATTTCAAAACTCTGAGAAAAAAGCTACACCGTATGCGGCGTTTGACCCTAGAAGAGCGTGATAAGGCAGTCAGTATGGTGCCTGCAGGGGGTTCCTTTGGAGAAATTTGTGGAAAAACTAAAACAATTAAAAGATTATTCATTCCTCTAATGAAAAATTGTTGCAAATGAATTAACAATTATAAAAATGTTTACTATTA